TTATTCATTTTCTTTGTTTTACTCAGCCTGATTACTCATATGCGATCCTAACGGATCATTTCTCACAGTACTATTATTAGCGTAGCCACTTGTATTTAAGTAGAGCCTTCGCTGGTCTAAACCCCAGCTTCGGCTAAGGTTTAATCTACCCAACTCGAACTCCATCCTTCGTGACTATCTGTCCGCAATCCGCTTTGACGTCGCCTTTGACTTACTAGAGTATCTACCACCGAAGTGCGAGTGGTGATCCTAGTTTGATCTAAGTCGACTATTAGTTGGTTGTTAACAGGTTACCACTACCCCATTGATACCCGTTATTTATATTTTCCCGCTCTTTTCCTTACTTCTTGTGCAGGACTTTTCTCTTCCAACTTCTCAAAGGTGCACAATTTTCTTCTGGAGTCGGAGCGCTGCACTCCGAGTCTTCCACCTCACACCCACACCAACTGTAACCTCGACCATCATTAGCATTCTCGGCACTCGCTCCTTCCACACTATCCCCATCCTGACCTGCCTCAACCCTGCGTTGGTCCATGATCTTGTACCGCTTCCCACCATCAGAAGAGGGCAGTGTGAATCTGTGCGCCTTGAACAAAGTGTCTCCTTGAGCCTCACACACTTTATCTCTCAAGAGATATACACCTGGGGTTTGTCCACCAATGAGTGGAGCGCGAGAGGGGTGCAAGGTGCGTACACCCTCTATCCTCTTTCTTTCCCCTCCCTGATTCTTTCACAGACGCACGCTCCCGATGAACAAACGGTCGTAACTCTATGGCTGGGGGTAATATCGAGAACGACACTCAGGCTCGTGCTTTTTATCTACGCGTAGAGGAACAACGGTGCTGCATCCACCTTGTCTCTAGACCCTCTGGCCTGCTGGCATAAGAACAGCAGTCTCGAGAACGTCCTTCAAGTTTAGCAGCATAGTCCGCTGTAGGACGAGGTGCATACACCCTCCTCCTTTCCAAAGTTCTAACCTCTAGCTCCATCAAGTGGACTTTTTGCTTCCACGGGATCAATCTTGTCCATCGGATCTGTCACGGCGCACTCGACCCTATTACTCTGAATCCGATGCAAGCAAGCAAACGTTCTACTTCCACTGGCAGTGAATCAATCTCGGTCATAGTGCAGAACCCAGTAGAAGACGGTTCACATCAAAGCAGCTCACATCCCTTCTGACACCGTGATGAGCTTCCGTCAAACAATCATCCAATCTCGCCCAGTGCACTCATGCTCGACCCCTCCATTCACATGCACATGCTGCTCCCAACAAGCAGGTGTGCATGCTATTCTGGTGCAACGTGACACTGTATGGCACTCCTTCCTATGATCGCCTTCTCATCTTCCTGAGTCCTAACAAACAACTAGAAGTGATCCTCTTTTCCTTCCTTCTCTGATTCTCTGGGTCCATCTCTCATGAAGTATGCCACGCAGCATAAGCTCCTTGGGAATCTGTCGATTATTCATAGGATATCGTTGCGTTGGGTGTTGACGATGATAGATCCAAGTTGTGGGAAGCGCCTGAGGTGTCTATTTGAAAGGAGCACTTATTCCTGGCTATCAGTGATTATATACATCCTTTGTCATTTTGTGGTTTTCATTCGCTCTCCACGTCATACACCATTCACATTTACTTATTACTGCTTATAATATATGGATAGAAGAATATGACAAAACTTGTACTATGTTCCTCTCTCGTGTGATTTCCAGTGAGCTTGACTATTGAAAGGTACTAACTATGCTAAGGAAGGCGAAGTGCTACACACACACACACCCTAACACACTCAATAATTGCGGTTCGAAGGGGTAAGTTACACCGGGTCGATGCTTGTACTGTGGATACTAGTTCCGGGTTGATAATGAATATAATTTGTTTGATTGCAATATTCTGAAACGACACAAATCTGGACTTTCTGTGTTACCGAACACAATCTGATACCAACAGGCTGCCTGGTGCAGTTTCCTGAATGCGTACTAACTGCCTGGTGCAGTGTCTGAACTGATACTGTCTGCCTGGTTGCAGTTTTACTGGTGCTAACATGGATTCTGGACTGTACTTCTGACTGTCTGTCTGTATCTTTCTGAACTGACTGCTTTCTGAACGGTTCTTGCACACAAAACGTGACCAGGTCACTAAATACAATTCCAGGTGAGTCTAGGACTCAAAGCTCTTAACCAAAACCCGTACTAATTTGCTTGGTAGCGTTCCGGGGGTCAGAAACCTGACCTCCTGCTAGTTACATGGACAGTATTTATACTATTCTACCCTATCTATATTTCCAATCTTTCCAGGTACTATTACTGCGCCTGCTGACTGAGCCGGGTGGATATGAGCTCATATCCCGGCTCCCAGGTGAACCCGATCATGATCTTGTGCCACAATCTGGTGTCCTGGCTCATGATACTAAGTTTTACCTGTACCGGGTCAGAGCCCCTGGTGTTACGGTTCTTGTTTCTCATCTACCCGGTGAGCCAACCGTCTGCCTGAGAGACTAGGAAAGCTGCCAGGTAAGTAAAGCCGTACACGATCGTTCTTTGTTTTGTTATTCTTACTTTCAGACCGATGCCATCAGGCAGCCATCAGTGCCTGGGATGCCGGTTCGGCTGGAGCCATGTGCTTTCGACCTGCCTGGACCTTCGGTCACTCGGGCTGAGTCATCGGATCACCAGTCTGTTGCCTGAGCCCTTAGGCTTGTCACGGCTGAGTCCTTACTGACGCAGTGGGGTTTAACACTTCTTGCTGTGTACCTTGCAGGTTCTTTCTTACTTGCACAGCTACAAACGTAGTTTGTAGGATAATAAAATTAAGATTTATACGCGTTTTCCAAGGGTAGACGCCAGGCAGGCATATCATCTCCCATCAACTAAATGCCGACTGTCCCAGTCGTCGTCGTGTCGCCTTCCATCCGCGTTGCTAGGAGCCGGTATGTTTTGAGAGAGGTGATTACCATTCTCGGTATTCCTTCCCATCGGCATCTGCTCGGCATGTGTCATGGAATTCGATTTCGGTAATTCAGTTATTTTTAGAGACGTGGTGTGTGCTCACCCTGCTTCTCATTCACAGGTACGCGTTCCAATGTTAAATTTTTTGTACTCTGGGTATGATACCTTACTTGTTCTCTTACTTTTACACGTTGAGCCCTCCCTGCTCCGCGTTCGCTCTTGCTTACTATGTCTGCGCCCGACCGTTTCGCGCTCTTACATGCTGCTCTCGAGAAGGCACCTGCCCTGTGGGATACTGATGTCGCTGACTCGCTTTGCCAAATAGAGATTGCTGAACAGGCAGGGAATGCACATGTCCTTTTGGTGAGTTCTTGTACTCTTCCCTATGTGACTTACTAATGCTAGGTAGGCTGCCTACTGTGCCACTTTCGCGCACCCCCACCCGACCATTGTCGACCGGTTTTTCGCCACTGCTTCCAAAGCGGTTCATGGAATCCCCGAAAGACTTGTCCATCCTGACTGGAAACTGTGGGCTTGCAGCCCCAAGATAGCAAACAAGGTGCTCAAGGTATGTGCTGTGTACTGCTTTACTTTCAACTTCCCTCATTGTTTAGGCGGGGGTGTTTACTATGGCCGATGCCAAATTCTTACGAGAACCGTCGCCACCGCCAGCTCCTGTGCCAGCTGCGACATCAAACTCTAAGAAACGCAAACCCCACGGCCGTTCTCCTTCTACCAGGCCTCTCAAAGGTGCTGGGAACAAAGCCGCCGATACTTCGAAGACTGGCGAGAAGACGTCTTGCAAGCGCCTTAAGTGAGACCAAGCGTCTTCCTCCGTCGATGAAGAGCGGGACCTTCTCCCTTCGCTCCGCAAAGAGAAAGAAACTGCATCTTCAAGCAGGACGTCCAGCAAACATCCCAAACGCGATCAAGTTTCCCCCTCAGTCGACGAGGAACGGGAACTGTCTCCCTTACCTTCCAAGAAGGAAGCAACTACTACCAAACGGAAAGGCACGATCCCTCCTCCCACTGTGCTAGGCAAAGAGAGTTCAGCGGCCCCCGAGAAATCCCAGGTGAAAGGCCGAGGATGCAAAACTGTTGTCAAGGAGGAGCCTACCGTCCCTAGGGCAAAGGAACCTACTCCTCCTCCTGCCATCCTGGCTGAAGACACGCATGTTGACATCCGTGGACGCTCTCCTACCCCTGTTACTGCGGAATACATGCTTGAGCGCATCCTTACTGATTCTCCTTTGTTGTCGGCAATGCGTCTCCCTCACAAGGTATTTTTCTTTCCTCTTTTCGTTTTATTATTATTTATTTCTAACTTCCTTCCCAGGACGCGACTGGTTGTACTATGTGTGCAAGTCGCTGAGTCCTTTGTCAACACAAGGAGCCGTTGATGACTTGTACCAACTGTAACAAGTGGGGTCATTGCTCCTGCCGTCTCTCCGCCTCGGACTTGCAGGAGGTCCATGATAATCTGCTCACTTCAGCGCAAGCCGCCTATCCTTGTGAGTTTGTCTCCTTTCTCTTTCTTGATTGCTGATGGTAATTTTCTTAGTCATGGAAATGCACGACCGGCTCTTTCAATCTGCCGACCGCACGATCCGCCACCTTCTCAACGCGTTGCACAAAACTACGGAATCCGCACTGCGGCATTGTGTAACATGTTACAAGCATTCACTCAAGTTGAAGGTGACCACGATACCGATGCGCTCGTCAATTTTGCACGTCAATTTCCGGTTGGACGCCGCCTGCTTATCGACATGGGGCTGGTGTCACAGAAGGAGAAAGACGAGTTAGAGCTTGTTGCCCGCACCCCAACTCCGTCACTATTACCCCCATCCTTTGACAATGCATAGTGAAACTGATCCCAAGCCTCAACTGCCGGAGTTCACCATCCTCGAGAACCAGACTTCCACGCCTCGCACGAGTAGGTCCTCTGC